TGATATCCCCTTTATCGTTTTTTATTGCATCTATTTGATTATTCTCTCTTTTCTATTAATTTGGCTAGTGGTCCTTTGTTTTGTTGATCTTTTTCGAAAAACCAGCTCCTGGATATACTGATTTTTTGAAGGGTTTTCTGTGTCTCTATCTCCTTCAGTTCTGCTCTGATCTTAGTTATTTCTTGTCTTCTGCTAGCTTTTGACTTTTTTGATTTTGCCCCTCTAACTCTTTCAATTTTGATGATTGAGTGTCGATTTTAGACTTTCCTTGCTTCTTATGTGGGCATTTATTGCTATAAATTTTCCTCTAGACACTGCTTTAAATGTTTCCCAGAGATTCTGGTATGTTGTGTCTTCATTCTTGTTGGTTTCAAAGAACATCTTTATTTCTGCCTTCATTTCATTGTTTATCCAGTCAATATTCAAGAGCTAGTTGTTCAGTTTCCATGAAGTTGTGTGGGTTTTTTTTTTTTTTTTTTTTTTTGAGATGGAGTTTTGCTCGTTACCCAGGCTGGAGTGCAATGGCGCGATCTCGGCTCACCGCAACCTCCGCCTCCTGGGTTCAGGCAATTCTCCTGCCTCAGCCTCCTGAGTAGCTGGGATTACAGGCACACTCCACCATGCCCAGATGATTTTTTGTATTTTTAGTAGAGACGGGGTTTCACCATGTTGACCAGGATGGTCTCGATCTCTTGACCTCGTGATCCACCCGCCTTGGACTCCCAAAGTGCTGGGATTACAGGCTTGAGCCACGGTGCCCGGCCCGAAGTTGTGTGGTTTTGAGTTAGTTTCTGAAACCTGAGTTCTAATTTGATTGCAGTGTGGTCTGAGAGACTTGTTTGTTATGATTCCCATTCTTTTGGATTTGCTGAGGAGTGATTTACTTTCAATTATGCAGTCTATTTTAGAGTAGGTGTGATTTGGTGCTGAGAAGAATGTATATTCTGTGGATCTGGGGTGGAGAATTCTGTAAATGTCTATTAGGTTTGCTTGGTCCAGGTCTAAGTTCATGTCCTGGATATCCTTGTTAATTTTCTATCTCGTTGATCTGTCTAATATTGACAGTGGGGTGTTAAAGTCTCCCACTATTATTGTGTGAGAGTCTAAGTCTCTTTGTAGGTCATTAAGAACCTGCTTTATGTATCTAGGTGCTCCTGTATTGGGTGTGTGTATATTTAGGATCATCAGCTCTTCTTATTGCATTGATCCTTTTATCATTATGTAATGTCCTTCTTTGTCTCTTTTGGTCTTTGTTGGTTTAAAGTCTATTTTATCAGAGACTAGGATTGCAACTCCTGCTTTTATTCTGCTCTCCATTTGCTTGGTAAATCTTCCTCCATCCCTTTATTTTGAGCCTATGTGTATCCTTGCATGTGAGGTGTGTTTCCTGGATACAGCACACCAGCGGGTTTTGACTTTTTATCCAATTTGCCAGTCTGTGTCTTTTGATTGGGGCATTTAGCCCATTTACATTTAGGGTTAATATTGTTATGTGTGAATTTAAACCTGCCATTTTGATGCTAGCTGGTTGTTTCACCTGTTAGTTGATGCCGTTTCTTCATTATGCCAATGCTCTTTACCATTTGGTACATTTTTGGAGTGGCTGGTACTGGTTGTTCCTTTCTGTGTTTAGTGCTTCTTTCAGGAGCTCTTGTAAAGCAGGCCTGGTGGTGATGAAATCTCTTGAGTTATTGCTTGTTTGTAAAGGATTTTATTTCTCCTTCGCTTATGAAACTTAATTTGGCTGGATATGAAATTCTGGGTTGAAAGTTCTTTTCTTTAAGGATGTTGAATATTGGCCCCACTCCCTTCTGGCTTGTAGGATTTCTGCTGAGAGATCCACTGTTGAGTCTGATAGGCTTCCCTTTGTGGGTGACTTGATCTTTCTCTCTGGCTGCCCTTAGCATTTTCTCCTTCATTTCAACCCTGGTGAATCTGAAGATTTTGTACCTTGGGGTTGCTCTTCTTGAGGAGTATCTTTGTGGGGTTCTCTATAATTTTCTGGACTTGAATGTTAGCCTGCTTGCTAGGTTGGGGAAGTTGTCCTGGATAATATCCTGAAGAGTGTTTTCCATTTTGGATTCATTCTCTCCGTCACATTCAGGTAACACCTATCAAACATAGATTAAGTCTTTTCACATAATCCCATATTTCTTTGAGGCTTTGTTCATTTCTTTTTACTTTTTTCTCTAATCTTGCCTTCTCATTTTATTTCATTGAAATGATCTTCGACCTCTGATAGCCTTTCTTCTGCCTGTTCAATTCAGCTACTGAAACTTGTGTGTGCTTCGTGAAGCTCTCGTGTTGTGTTTTTCAGCTCTATCTATTCATTTATGTTCCTCTCTAAGCTGTTTATTCTCATTAGCATTGCATCAAACCTTTTTTCAAGGTTCTTAGTTTCTTTGCATTGGGTTAGAACATGATCTCTTAGCTCAAAGAAGTTTATTATCCACCTTCTGAAGCCTGATTCTGTCAATTCATCAGACTCCTTCTCCATCCAGCCTTGTTCCTTTGCTGGTGAGGAGTTGTGATCCCTTGGAAGAGGAGGGGCATTCTGGTTTTCAGTGTTTTCATCCTTTTTCCGCTGGTTTCTTCCCATATTTGTGTATTTATTTACCTGTGGTCTTTGTAGTTTGTGGCTTTCTGATGGGGTCTCTGAGTGGACGTCCTGTTTGTTGACGATGAAGTTATTTCTTTCTTAGTTTTCCTTCTAACAGTCAGGCCCCTCTGCTGTAGGACTGCTGGAGGTCCACTCCAGATCCTGCTTGCCTGGGACTCACCTGCAGCAGCTGCAGAACAGTAAGGGTTGCTGCCAGTTTCTTCTTCTGCTTTGTCCCAGAAGGATACGTGCCAGATGTCAGTCTAAGCTCTCTTTTATGAGGTGAGTCTTTGGATAATGGGGTTTGGGGAGCTGCTTGAGGAGACACTCAGTCCTTTATAGGAGCTCAAGTGCCGAGCTGTGAGATCTGTTCTTGCATTCAGAGCTGCTGGGCAGGTACGTTTAAGTCTGCTGCAGCAGAACTCATAACTGCCTTTTTTTTTCCCAGGTGCTCTGTCCTGGGAAGGTAGGGGTGTATTTATAAGTTTCTGTCATGCTGCTGCCTTTTTTAAGGGATGCGTTGCCCAGTGAGGAGGCAGCCTAGTCACAGTCTGCCAGCAGAGGCATTGCTGACCTGCTGTGGGCTCTGCCCAGCTGCCTTGTGAACTTCCCTGCAGTCCTGTTTATAGGGATATGGTTAGAACTTCCTCAGCAATGGCGGCTGACCTCTGTAATGGCAGACTCTCTCTGTAATGGCGGACTGCCTCAGCAATGGCAGGCTGCCTCAGTAATGGCAGACTGCCTCGGCAATAGCGGATCACCTCAGCAATGGCAGACAGCCTCGGTAGTGGCAGACTCCCTCGGTAATGGCACAGATGCCCCTCCCCAACAGAGCTGGATTATCCCAGGTTCAGCTGTGCTTGCTGTGAAACTCTCATTCCAGAGCATTTCCGATTGCTGGTGTTTGTGGGGGTGGGACTGGCCACGCCTGATTACCTGGCTCCCTGCCTCAGAACTCTTTTGTTTTCAGCTGAACACGCGACTCTTTCCCAGGCGTTCCAGTCACCAGTTGAAACAGTGCCCCGATTTGTGTGAGTTCTTGTGCCGAGACCTGCTGTGCCAGCTGAAACAGCCGTGCTGGAGGCTCATAGCGTTTTTTTGCCCGGGGAATCTCCTGGCCTGGCTCCCTGTTTCAGTCCCCTTTTTTTCAGGTAAATGGGTGACTCTGTCTCCCAGGTGTTCTAGTTGCCAGTTGAAAAGGCACCCGGATTTGTGTGAGATTTTGTGTGGAGACCCACTGCGCCGGCTGAAACAGCCAGGCTGGAGATTACTTTTTCACCCAGGAATCTTGTGGCCTGGCTCCCTATTTCAGTCCCCTTTTTATCAGTTGAACAGATGACTCTCTCTCCCAGGTGCTCCGGTCACCAGCAGAAAAGGCGCCTGGACCTGTGTGAGTTTTTTGTTCGGAGATCCACCGTGCTAGCTGAAACAGCCATGTTGGAGACTGGTGGCACTCCTCCACCTGGGAATATCCTGGTCTGTGAGCAATAAAAATCCGTCTGGAAATGTGGTGGCCACTCACCCTCTGCACTCTCACTGGGAGCTACAATCCAGAGCTGCTCCTACTTGGCCATCTTGGATCCCCCTCATTTATTATTTTCTCATTGTGTGCAGAAGGTACATTTTCCTTTGTAAGCCTTTATGTCCCTTTCTAGCTCTGATTATATTTCAAATTTAGTGATTTGTGGCAACTTTAATAGAAACATGTTAAACAATATAAAGTAGCTTTTTTTTTTTTTTTTTTTTTTTTTAAGACAGAGTCTTATTCTATCACCTAGGCTGGAATGCAGTGGTGTGATCTCAGCTTACTATAACCTCTGCCTCCCAGGTACAAATGATTCTTGTGTGTCAGCCTCTAGAGCATGTGGGATTACAGGCATGTGCCACCACACCTGGGTAATTTTTTTGTATTTTCAGTAGAGATGGGGCTTTGCCATGCTAGCCAGGCTGATTTCAAACCCCTGGGCTCAAGTGATCCTCCCACCTTGGCCTCCCAAAGTGCTGGGATTACAAGTGTGAGCCACTGCACCCAGCCCAACCTATTTTTTTTTTCTTTGAGACAGAGTCTTGCTCAGTCATGCAGGCTGGAATGCAGTGGCCTAATCTTGGTTCACTGCAACCTCCACCTCCCACACTGAAGTCATTCTCCTGCCTCAGCCTTCTGAGTAACAGGGACTAAGGCACACACCACCACGCCTGGCTAATTTTTTTTAGTAGAGCTGGGTGTCACCATGTTGCCCAGGCTGGTCTCAAACTCCTGACCTCATGTGATCCACCCACCTCAGCCTCCCAAAGTGCTGGGATTATAGGCATGAGCCACCATGCCCGACCCCAGCCTGACTTTAATAAGCACCTCTTATCAGCCACATTTCCATAAATAGAAAAATGGCAATTGACTTACAGCCACAGCTTCTGTTTTCACATCATCATTACTATCTGGGGCAGTCAGCTCTATGAGGACAGGGCACACTTTGGTCTCCACATCAAATCGTTCAATGAGCTCCTGCTCCAGCAGAGCCAGCAAAGCTGCCTGACTTGTTTTCCTCACCTAGGAGGAAAATGAAAACACAAAGAAAGTTCATATGTGGCATGACAAAATTCTACCACTTGATTTTTATAAACAAAGATTTCTCATCTCAAAGGGACCCATAACTGGCAAAACTTTGTAAATAATATTTGTGTTTATTTTCTTCAACTATTACAAAGACCTCGGAACTTGGTAGACTGTGTTATATAACAGAGTAAGTGAAACATAGCCATTCTGTTAAGAGATGCCTCACAAAGTAACAAACATTTTGAGGGATCCCTAGGAGGTTACCAAGTGAGTTACTAAGCATTGTCTCTAATGGCATTAAAGAGATCTACTATATTTGTGAGACTCTAAACACATCTTATCTAAGACAAATGTTCATTCTGGAAAAACAGTAATGAAGTAAAAGTGGAAAAAAACATTCCAATGAGAACACTTAAGCTAGGCTATTCTTCATACATTACGCTACATAAATTTCTTTTACGAACATATAAATGGTACTCTTACCTGATTATTCTGATCTGCAAGATATCTAACCACGATAGGTAGTAAGAATTTGGAAAAAGCGTATGGTATTGAAGGCCGGTTTTCTTGACAAAACAGTGCGATATGAGGCACCTGTTCCATTAGCTCCGCTCTCACAGTTGGTTCTATTGAGATAACCATAATGTGAGCAAACATGTTCTCCTACAGCAAAAAAAGCTTTATCTGGGCTTCAGCGTACTTAGGAAGGCTTCGGACTTTCATTTTCAAAATATAAAGGACTTACAAAAACATTGTTTACTTTTCCAATCCTTTTCACAATCATACACAGATCAATCCCATGAATGAAAAGAGGACTTTATCCTCAACCCAAGCTTCTGTTGTTTACAGTAGGCTCTGAGTATCTAACCATTTCTTAACAATAAATGAGTTTATTTATTACCTACACTGTGCCACACTGTGCTAGGGGCTAAAATCCTGTCCAATATTTACATCAATACTGTGATATATAGTATTATCCATAAATTCCACTATTTAATAACCTACTAGGACAATTCATAAAAACTAGCTCCTGGCTGGGTGAGGTGGCTCATGCCGGTAATCACAGCACTCTGGGAGGCCAAGACAGGCAGACCACCTGAGGTCAGGAGTTCCAGACCCACCTTGCCAATATGATGAAACCCCATGTCTACTAAAATACAAAAATTAGTTGGGTGTGGTGGCATGCACCTGTAATCCCAGCTATTTGGGAGGCTGAGACAGAAGAATCACTTGAACCTGGGAGGCAGAGGTTGCAGTGAGCTGAGATCATGCTGTTGCACTCCAGCCTAAGCAACAAGAGTGAAACTCAGTCTCAAAAACAAAACAAAACAAAACAAACTAGCTCCTAATCTCAATTTAATAAGTGAAAGATATATAATTAGAAATGGGTAAATGAAAATTAAAGGTGACAAATTTTTTTAAAAACCTGAAAAGATCCAAGTGTATATCGAAAATTTAAATGTGAGAAATATGACATTTCAAATCTCTGGGCTTCAAAAAGATGAAATGTCCAAGAAGTAATGGTAGAAAAAGCTGTTAGTTATGTAAGGAATGCAAGTTCCTACTGCACATCATACATAAAGATCAAAAGTACTAAAAGGTAACATTAAATGTTCAATCTTGAGGTGGGAAGAAAAAAATCCAAAAATCAACCATAAGAACAACTCATTTTCCTTTATAAAAACTTTATTATAGGCTGGGCACGCCTGTAATCCCAGCACTTTGAGGCCAAGGTGGGCAGATCACAAGGTCAGGAGTTCGAAACCAGCCTGGCCAACATGGTGAACCCCTATCTCTAGTAAAAATACAAAAATTAGTTGAGTGTGGTGGTGCATGCCTGTAATCCCAGCTACTCCAGAGGCTGAGACAGGAGAATCACTTGAACCCAGGAGGCGGAGGTTTCAGTGAGCCGAGATAGTGCCACTGCACTCCAGCCTGGGTGACAAAGCAAGACTCCGTCTCAAAACAAACAAACAAACAAACAAGACTTTATTATAGATAACAGATACTGTACTTGGTTAAAAGGTAAAACAGCCAGGAAGCAAATGCATGTATAACAGAGTATTAGGTGAACAATACAAAGACCATGTTGTTCAAATAAATATAAGAAAGAAAATAAGGATACAAGTAGGCAATTCATAGAAGACATCCAAGTGACTGAAAGACAGACATGACGAATTATCAGTAACAAGTCATTATATCAGACCCAACTAGAACTTTGATACCCATTATTATTATGCATTATTCAAGTTACATTAAAGTAAATATGTATGAATGTGTCCAATGGAGTTTCAGATCTCAACAAAAAGAAATTAACATAGCTTTAAGTAGAAAACATGGTATTTTACAAAGCTCAGAATCTTATCAACAAACCATCTGGAATTTCCATTATACTGTTGTACCATGTTGAGTATTTCTGTTGTATCAAAATAGAGTATTTCTGTTTTGAAGAAAAACCTAAATTTTTAAAAAAGTAGGCCGGGCGTGGTGGCTCAAGCCTGTAATCCCAGCACTTTGGGAGGCCGAGGCAGGTGGATCACGAGGTCGAGAGATCGAGACCATCCTGGTCAACATGGTGAAACCTCGTCTCTACTAAAAATACAAAAATTAGCTGGGCATGGTGGCGCGTGCCTGTAATCCCAGCTACTCAGGAGGCTGAGGCAGGAGAATTGCCTGAACCCAGGAGGCGGAGGTTGCGGTGAGCCGAGATCGCGCCATTGCACTCCAGCCTGGGTAACAAGAGTGAAACTCTGTCTCCAAAAAAAAAAAAGTAAACATACAGGCCTCTGCTTTTCTCATGGTCCTGAATTTTCTAACACTGACAATTGCTTATATTTTTTAAACAAAAGGAGGACACAAGTTATGGTGTCAGTTATAAATGAAACAGCAACTTTTCTTTCTTCAAAGCCCTGCTTAGGCAAATAGACCAATGGGGAAAAAAAAACGCAGTCCAGAAACAGATGCACACATGTATAGACAACTGATTTATTAAAAGATGAACAAGAAAAGATGGTCTTTTTAATAAATGGTATTATGTCAACTGGCTACCTACATTAAAAGAAAAAAAAGAAAAACAAGATGGTACTTGTCCTCTACTTTGTATGATGCACATGAATAAATTCCAGGTGGAATACAGATCTAAGCATCAAGGCAAAAACAATAAGGATTCTCTGTGTTAAGAGAGTACAAAAAGATATGTATGACTTTGAGGTTGGAGAAAATCTCTACAATGACACAAAGGCACTACCCATAAAAGAAAAGCACCTCGCTTCTTTAAGAAGCATCACTTTGAGTGCAAAGATGAGCCACAGAGTGAAAAAGATATCTTTAATACAAACAAATGACATTGGGCTCATATGCAGAATGAATTACTGTAAATCTGTAAGAAAATGACTGCCAATTTTTTTTTTTTTTTTTGAGACGGAGTTTCGCTCTTGTTACCCAGGCTGGAGTGCAATGGCGCCATCTCCGCTCACCACAATCTCTGCCTCCTGGGTTCAGGCAATTCTCCTGCCTCAGCCTCCTGAGTAGCTGGGATTACAGGCACGCACCACCATGCCCAACTAACTTTTTGTATTTTTAGCAGAGACAGGGTTTCACCATGTTGACCAGGATGGTCTCGATCTCTTGACCTTGTGATCCACCCGCCTCGGCCTCCCAAAGTGCTGGGATTACAGGCTTCAGCCACCGCGCCCGGCCTGACTGCCAATTTTTTAAAGGGGGAAGAGACTTAGGCATTTCAAAAAAGAAGTTGGGTGTGGTGGCTCATGTCTGTAATCCCAGCACTTTGGGAGGCTGAGGTGGGTGGATCACTTGAGTCAGGAGTTCCAGACCATTCTGGCCAACATGGTAAAACCTCATCTCTACTAAAAATACAAAAATTAGGCAGGCATGGTGGTGGTGCATGCCTGTAATCCCAGCCACTCGAGAGGCTGAGGCAGAAGAACTGCTTGAACCCAGGATGAGGTTGTGGTCAGCTGACATTGTGCCACTGCACTCCAGCCTGGGTAACGAATGAGACTTCATCTCAAAAAAAAGAGAACAAAACCAAATAGCCAGTAAGTATATAACTTCCTCATTGGTTATTGAGGAAATGTAAATTAAAACCACAACAAGATGCCACTACATATCTTCCATTCCAAGGGAAAATAAAGTAAAAGCAGATGGTAAATTTAGCAGAATAAATCAAGATAAAAGTGAATGAAAGGATGAAAGGTAAGGCAGAAGACAGGAAGGTTCTCAGCTGCTTAGGTTGTCTAAACAAAGAATACATATTCCATTCACTTCAGAGCTGTGTTTTATTCAACAGTCTATCTTACCCAAATACTACAATAAGCCCAGTTCTACAAATGAGAAACCTCAAGGTCAATTCCTCTCTCTTCCTCACTCTATCCAGAGGTTAGCCTTGGAATCAATCCCTCCTAGCACTTCAATTTCTATCCAACAATTCACCCTTACAACAACTGATTGGCCGGTCAGTCATGGTCAGTGGCTCATGCCTATAATCTCAGCACTGTGGGAGGTCGAGGCAGCTGGATCACTTAAGGTCAGAAGTTCCAGACCAGCCTAGTCAATATGGTGAAACCCCTTCTCTATTAAAAATATAAAAATTAACTGGGTGGTGGTGCATGCCTATAATCCCAGTTACTCGTGAGGCTGAGGCATGAGAATGGCTTGAACCTGGGAGGCAGAGGTGGTTGCAGCAAGCAGAGATCATGTCACTCTGCTCTAGTTTAGGCGACAGAGCAAGACTCTGTCTCAAAAAAACAAAAACAAAAACAAAAACAAAAAACAATTGGTATAGTCTTCCAATTAGTCTTCTTGTCACCCATCGTTTTCACCATATCAGTTCATACTGCTACATTACACTGTGCTAAATCACAAAACAGGTAAACTCATCAGCAGGGTATATTATAAACCTTTACAATCTAGCCCCACCTACCTTATTTAACGGCCTAATTTTTCTAACCTGGAAACTCAGCAGGTTAGTCTCATTGTCAGGTTGGCCTCATTGTTGACCACATGGGCCACCATCTTGAACTCCTCAAGCCTCTAAGTCTGTCTTTTCCTCTCCTGGGTATGCCCTTTCCCCTCTCTATACCTCATCATTCTATCAAATACAACTCAAATGTCACTAACTTTCTGAACCCTGCCCCAATCCTTCCCATTATAATTTATTGTTTATATGTTGGTTACATTCACTAAACTGTTAATTTGATGACAGAAATCCTTGTTCACCTTAATAACTGCTCTAGCATTTAACCTAGAACCTGGTAATAGAGTATGCACTGTTTGATGTATACTGAACAAATAGAATTATGTCAATAGAAACATTTACTATGAATTTACCAGTGTGAGAACATATTTTAAAATACACACACACACACACACACACACACACACACACACACACATTTATTTAAAAAAACTAGAGTTGGTAAACAGGTAAAGGAAAACACAAATTTATCCTTAAAGAATATTTGTCTCGGCCAGGCGTGGTGGCTCAAGCCTGTAATCCCAGCACTTTGGGAGGCCGAGGCGGGTGGATCATGAGGTCGAGAGATCGAGACCATCCTGGTCAACATGGTGAAACCCCGTCTCTACTAAATATACAAAAAATTAGCTGGGCATGGTGGCGTGTGCCTGTAATACCAGCTACTCAGGAGGCTGAGGCAGGAGAATTGCCTGAACCCGGGAGGCGGAGGTTGCGGTGAGCCGAGATCGCGCCATTGTACTCCAGCCTGGGTAACAAGAGTGAAACTCCGTCTCAAAAAAAAAAAAAAGAATATCTGTCTCTACTAAGGAATATAACCACAATAGGCTGTAACAGTGCCATGAATGACAAATTTAACTTAAATCAAATTAAAAAAATAAGTAAAAATTATACTTGATGAGATCCTTCCTAAAACCATTCTCGAACAAGCATATACATAACTAATTATGTACACAAAGGTAGATTATTGCTCAGTTAAGCCTACAAATGTTCTCCCCACCCTACAAAAGCATTAGAAACATTTAAGGCTTATGTAAATATTTACCATATTCCCATTAAAATAAACTGTTTATCAAAAGATGAGCTTGTCTAAAAATTAAAAGATGGGGCTTGCTGACATGCCAAAAAGTCTGTCAGAAATGGAAAATATATTTTAATAAAATAATAGATTTAAGGAAAAAAGTTTTAAAATTTACTTTTGTATTGTTCCTAAAATCAAGCACTAAAATATGCTTAATATTAGCTTAAAATAGCATGTTTTACGTGTTAAGTATATTTTACTACAACAAGAAACATATTTATAAAAACCTTAACATCACCATTTTCTAAGCCTCAAATCAAGTTTACCTCTTTCTTAGGTAGATTTTCTTATCTTCACTTTGGAGATAAACCAACTTTAGTTTTACAAATGATTAATCAACATTTTTTCCAAGTGAGACAGCACAGAGAAAAAAAGCTTTCTTTATTTGCCTAAAAAATGTATAGCCTCCTCCATCTCTTTAAATGTATTCAAAATTATTCTAGATTTTTTTTTTTTTTTTTTTTGAGACAGAGTTTCGCTCTTGTTGCCCAGGCTGGAGTGCAATGGCGCGATCTTGGCTCACCGCAACCTCCGCCTCCTGGGTTCAGGCAATTCTCCTGCCTCAGCCTCCTGAGTAGCTGGAATTACAGGCACACGCCACCATGCCCAGCTAATTTTTTGTATTTTTAGTAGAGACGGGGTTTCACCATGTTGCCCAGGATGGTCTCGATCTCTTGACCTCGTGATCCACCTGCCTCGGCCTCCCAAAGTGCTGGGATTACAGGCTTGAGCCACCGCGCCCGGCCGGATATTTTTATTAATCCTAAAATATTAATATACATGATGCAAAACAATGTTTTTAGATTTGTTTTATGAGAAATTTCTAAAACTAAACTAAGCCTACTATAACATGTTCAAGTCTCAGTAACAAATTTTACTTTTGTTGTCACTGATGGGTTTGATAATTACTTAGGAAATCTTTTAAAGATATCTCGGATCACATTAACTTTTTCATTAGTTTTTAGAAACAAATTTGGTCAAAGAAAACTTTCTAGAATAAATTCACTTTCACCACATAAACATATACCTGAATCATCAGCCAATCTGCTAATTCTTTCCAAAACAGCAATACAATCTCTTTCATCATCGCAGACTTCCCTCAAGGTATCCAGCAAACTCCGGGCCACCATTTGTCTACAAAAAAAAAAGAAAATTATGTACGTTCAATGGCATCAATAGTTAATATCCAGAATTTTATTTTTTTGAGATAGGGCCTCATTCCTGTTGCCCAGGCTGGGGTATAATGGTGCGATCATGGCTAATCATAGCATTGACTTCCCTGGCTCAGGTAATCCTCCCACCTCAGCCTCCTGAGTAACTGGGACTACAGGTGTACACCACCCCACCACACCTGGCTAATTTTTAAATATCTTTAGTAGAGATGAGGTTTCACCATGTTGCCCAGGCTGGTCTCAAACTCCTGGGCTCAAGCAATCAACCCGCCTTGGCCTCCCAAAGTGCTGGGATTATAGGCATAAGCCACTGCACCTGGCCAGTATCTAGAATTTTTAAAGACAAAATCTGTACATTTTCAAAGAAATTTTTTTCTTATATTATTAAAACATATATTGTCTATAATTTTCTAACTGGCAAATGCCAGTTTTGCTTTTATTCTGACAAGGTGAGACTGAGTATTTACCTACGTATTTTTTATCTTTATCTAACTGAGTTGGCAAAGTTACCAAAAATTCGTTTCAGTTATCCTTCAATTATCATAATGAAAAAACATCCTCATTCATTACACAAAATGTTATCCTTACATATTTTTACTATTACGAATTTTGCATTGCTATATCCAAAAAATCTGAACAAACACTTTTTGATCTCCCAGAAAAGTATGATATAAGTGATCTGGAATCACAGCTGGAGAAACATAATGCAGTAGGAAGAATGCTGGCTCTTGGTCACTGCCGTGTGACCCAATGACCTTGAGCATCACCTGTTACACAGCAAGTATACAACATCATCTGTTGAAGGAATAATGTACTTCCCAACAAGCAATTTATATGAATATCAAAATTATGTCCAGTGGCAGAAAAGCAATGGTAATGGTATTTTTTTTTTTGGAAAGAAAGCGTGCTGTATGTTTACTAGGATCAAAGAATAAACAAGTACAAAGCTGCTTATGCTATGATTATGAATAAAACTTGGTGACTCAGACTGTGCCTGTTAATAATACCACCTTTGAAAATGGATACTTTCATTTTCCTACTGAAGTTAATAAAGCCACCCTTCCACTTCCACCTTAACAAAAAAAATATGCACGTACCTGTTAAATACGTTCTCGCTTGCAGCATACTTGTCCAATCTCCCCAGGGGCGTCAACATTTCATCTTGTGAGACAAAGTCCAGGGCTGAAGGTATAATAATCACATCAGACTCTGAGCTGTAGTCATCCACACCAACTATCAGAGACATCAGAAATACTCCTTATAACACTTTGAAACTAAAATGTACCCCTTGCCTGTCTGAAGCAGTAAAAATCTGTTTCTGGAATGGTACAAAAAAAAAAATTACAAAAAACTCTTAGAATCAATCCAGTAGCCACAAATAACTAAAAGATACCTTCTCTCCTTTTTTTACAAGTATGTTCGACTTGGCTCTAAAGACACAAAGGTCGGAGGCCACAGAAACTCAGTATGCAGAAAACAGTGATCAGAGTCTTGAGAACACGTTCAACCAGGACACTAACAACTTGTGAACAGACATACAAAAAGTCAAGCACCAATAGAGCTAATCCTGCAATGTAGAAGATAAAGCTAATTAAACTGGTATCTGACTTCACTTACTAGAGGAAAGCTAAACACATTAGTATATTCTTATTCACTAAATAAATATTTATTAAATACATTTGTGCCAAGTACTAGGGTAGATGCTGGGGAAACAGCAATGAAAATACTAATCTGCCTTCAAAGAGCTAATATTCTGCAGAAAACAATCTACTTTAAAATGATCATTGTAATAAAAGTTTCTATTACTACAAACTAAATGGCCAGCCGCTCATTCAAGCTGCAGAAGGAAGAGAAGACCAAGACAGAATGGCTAAAAACTAATCAAAAGGTAATGATTTTAAAGGAATCATGCAATGAGAGTGAAGGTATGATTAAACAGCATCTACTACCAAAGAAATCAAGGAAGAACTGAAAAGTGCCCACTGAATTTGGTACTTTTGTGCCATGCTGTGTGCTCATTGTTAAACAAGGGCAATTTTCCATGGTATGAAAGCTGAAAAGCCAAACCTGACTGAAGACGTAAAGGAAAATATAAAAAAGTAAAGACAATGTGTACAAAATACACTTTCCAGAACTGTGGTTGTGAAATAAACTAGGTTAGATTACCAGCCAGGGCATTCAAGCAAAATAAAGATCATTTACTTTTGTTTTGTTCCTCATGTTTAAAAGACAAAGATTTGCAACATGGTTAAATAATGAAAGTAAACAGTCAACAAATAAATATAAATTGAAGTTCTATGAATAAGAAAATATTAACTGATGGAAACACTATGAGGTTGGGAAGGATGGAATCCAGAGCTAAGGTTTAAATAAGAACTCTACAACTGCTAGAGTTCAGGGCCTTTCCTAAAGCCCTAAGAGCTTTCCAAGAAATTTTTCTTTTTTTCTTTTTTTTTTTTTTCCATTTTCTTTTTTTTTTTTTTTTATTGCATTTTAGGTTTTGGGGTACATGTGATGAACATGCAAGATTGTTGCATAGGTACACACATGGCAGTGTGGTTTGCTGCCTTCTGTCCCCTCACCTGTATCTGTCATTTCTCCCCATGCTATCTCTTCCCACCTCCCCACCCCCCCCGCCCCTCCCCCATTTCCCCCCAACGGACCCCAGTGTGTAGTGCTCCCCTCCCTGTGTCCATGTCCATGTGTTCTCATTGTTCAACACCCGCCTATGAGTGAGAATATATGGTGTTTGATTTTCTGCTCTTGTGTCAGTTTGCTGAGAATATTACTTCTGGGCACTTTCTATTCTATCCCTTGCATTACTTTATTTACTTTCTCAATAGTGCCTGTCAACATCTGTTAAGTATTAGTTGTTTTACTTACTGTCTTTCTAGAGTAAGTTTTTGGCTCTGCGAGGATGGGAATTTTTATCCCATTCACTGCTTCATCTCCAGAATATTTCCAGGCACAAAGTAAGCACTTAAGTATTTTTGAAACAAAAAATCTGTGCATCACTTACAATGAGATTTTGTCTTTGCCCTGTAAGCTCTTTTCTTAGGAGACAAAAAGAAAACCACCTAACAAACTTCTCCCAAATGTTGCTATATGAGTAACAGAAAAGATGCATCATTTCCTGATGAAATGACCAATGTTATTGCTATTAGGACATTTTTAAATGCCTGGTTTTGAAACAAATGTGTATATACCATAGGCTCAACTTACAGAACTGACCACTTTAAACAGGTAACACTGTTTTAACTCCCAATAGAACATTATCAAAAAGAGACGACAAAACACGGCACAGTTCTTTTTGTTAAAACAAAAATAACTTCTGTATTTAAAGAACACTTAAAGCATGCTCTTCCACTTTTGACAAAGATGGATTAACAGGAACCAAGTTAACCCTCACACCTTAAATGGTTTAAAAAAAAAAAAAAAGAGAGAGAGAGAGAGAGAACCAGGCATGCTGGTAGTGTCTGTAGTCCTAGCTACTTAGGAGGCTAAATCAGGAAGACTGCTTGAGCCCAGGAGGTCAAGGCTGCAGTGCTTTATGACTGCATTTGCGAACAGCCACTACACTCTAGCCCATGGGAAACACAGTGAGACTCCTATCTCTTTAAGAAGAAAGATAAAACATAGGAAGTCACGGTTTCAGACACTGGGCAAAAGACAGTATTAGACAGTAACTCTGAGAAAGAGGGGGCAAATGCAATAAGCCCTATATTTCTCCAGCTAACTTCCTGGAAATAATTTCTAGAGCACTAGGAGGGTCCAAATATATTCCAGCAGACTCTCAAGTTGAAGAGACAGAGTTGAGAATCAAGGGAGGCCAAGGCAGCTAGAATTTGCAGAGGAGGAGCATCAGAGAAGAGGGACCTTCACAGAGAAAGAACTTCAGAGAGCTGCAGGAGGTCCCCTTGAGTTTTTAGGGGAGTACTGAAACAGTTTATGTGTGTGAGGAAACTACCTCATATTCTGGGAAATAACTACCTGAATTTCAAGTGAACAAGTACCCAATTATCACAAAGGACAAGGAATAGTTCATGTCTCCACCAACCAAAACCGTCAAAAACTCTATCATAAATGTGGCAAAACACCTAAGAAGTAGCAAATAATTCTCCTGGTTTTGCCTAACAAAGCTTAACACGCTTCAAAAGAAACAAACTGTCTCCAAGAAACTGTGTCACAGAAGAAAACTCAAGTATGTACATGAATATAAAAATAGCTAGCACTCAACAAGGTAAACGCTACAATGTCTAGCATCCAGTAAAAAGTTACTAGGCACACAAAGGCAGGAAAATACAAACCATGACGCGAAAAAACTCAACAGAAACAGACCCAAAACAAAGATAATGGAAATTATTTCAACTATATACCACACATTTAAGAAGGCAGAAAAAAAAGAGAATATTAAGAAGATCCACAGAAGATGATATAAAAGACCCAAATTAATCTTCTAGAGTAAAAAAAAAAAAAAAATGGGAAAATGTACTGGATAGGATCAAGAGCAGATTAAACATTACAGAGGAAAAATGTGTTACCATGAAGAAAAAGCATAAGAAAAACATCCTAAATGAAACCAAAAAAATATGGGGGCTGATGAGAATTAAGCAGCAATCAATTGTAGAAAAACTTCAAGCATCCAAATATACATGCAAATGGAGCCCCCAAAGAAGAATGGGAGATATAAAATATATTTGAATAATGGCAAAATTTTTCCAAATTTGGTAAAAACTATCGATCTACAGACAGATTCAAGGGGTTCAATGAAATCCATGAGCAAAAAACATCAACAGAATTACACCAAGGCACAATATAATCAAATTGCTGAAAGCTAGTGATAACTTTTAGGCAGCCAGGGAAAAATTCATGTTATATACAGAAAAACAAAAATAAGAATGACAGCAGACTTCTCAATCTAAAATATAAGCTAGAAAAAAACAGAGCAACATCTATAAGGTACGTAAAGAAAAAAACCTACAACTCCACACCTAGGAAATAGAAATCTTGCAAATATGAAGCTGAAATAAAGACTTTTTAAGCCACATAAAAACTGACATCAACAGCAGACATGCACTACAGGAAATACTAAAGCAAGTCTTTCAAGCAAAGGGAAAATTACACCAGATGGGAATCTAGATCTATACAAAAGAATAAAGGGCATCAGAAACAATTAATATGAGGCCAGGCATGGCAGCTCATGCCTGTAATCCTATCACTTTGAGAGGCCGAGGGGAGTGGATCATTTGAGCTCAGGAGTTAAAGAACAGCCTGGGCAACATGGTGAAACCCTGCCTCTACAAAAAATACAAAAATAAGTTGGGCATGGTGGTGTGTTCCTGCAGTCCCAGCTACTTAAGGGCCTGAGGCAGGAGGACTGCTTGAACCTTGGAGGTTAAAGCTGCAGTGAACTGAAATGACACCACTGCATTTCAGACTGGAGGAGAAAGCAAGATGCTGTCTCCAGGAAAAAAAAAAAAAAAAAAGAAAGAAATGGTTAACATGGGATAAATTTTAAAAACCATTCTCTTACTTTTCAAATACCTAAAAGATAAGTGCTTAAATAAAAATATGTACTAAAAATAAATGGATAAAAATGTATTGTGGGGTTTACAACATATGTAGAAATGTAATGTATGACTACAATAGCACAAAGGCAGGAAAAGGGTAAAGTATACTGTTGCAGGTGTGTAAAGAGATACATTTACTTGAAGTTAGACTGTGGCAAGGTAAAAATTCATATTAATTATAAACTCTAAAGCAATCATTATTTAAAAAGAAACATACATACACCAAAGACATACTACTTATAAGCCAGTACACTCCATAAGGAATCTAAAAGAAGGCAGAAAAAGAGAATAAAGGGAACAAGGAAGAGATGGGACAAACAAATGAGAAACACCAAGATAAGCAATTTAAACATAACCATATCAGTACGTACATTAAGTGCAAATGATCTAAATAGCCCAATTAAAGGCAGAGTCTGTGGAACTGGATTACAAATAATGCCTAACCATGAACATAATTACACAGTACAGAAATATTTTATACATCTTATTCTGGACTACAATTCCTAGCAAAATACCTTATAAATTATAAATCAAAGTTGTAAATGCCACTCAGACACTCTCATTTGGCCTCAAGTTTTCTCCTTTATAAGACTGTTAAGCTAGTATAACCTTGAAGCACCTTTACAAAGGCTCTAGAATTCTACGACTATGACCAAACTGTTT